TTACTAAGATTAAAATAGTAAATTTAAAATTAGAGGTAAAAATAGATAAAACAAATAATATTTTTATATAAATTGGTTAGTAATATTGATTTGTAATAGGGATCTGCAGGTTTGGGTGTTCTAAAGAGCCAGAATTCTCAAAACAATACAAAATTTTTACAGAAAATAGCAAAAAATTTTTTGCAAGAGAGTTTGCGAGGTTTTGTTAATAAAATTTTAAGTTTAAATCTGTTTTTTAAGTATTATATATCAAAATGAAGCTCTAAATAAGCTCTATTTTTTTGTATTAAGAAGCAAGTAGTATTTACTTAATAAAATTATGTTTTTTAAAGAAAATAAAAATTTGAACAGATATACTATATCTCTTTGTAGAGAGACTAAATAGATACAATAAATAGCTACTTATATACAAAATCTTGTATAGAACAAGTTTACTTAAATAGCTAACTAAAGTTTATTTAATAAAATTTTGCAAAAATGTAAATTGTTTGTAGAGAAGATTTAGTACAAATAATTGTTAGAAAGAGTTATATAATTGGTCCTCTATAATAGTAATATTAAAGATCTTGTACTATCTTTTACTTAAGTTTTCTTAAATAGTTTCTATAACCTTTTTATTTGCACAGATTTCTATATATAGCTAAAAAACTTGTTTTTTTTTTATATTCAGCAGTTCTGTCTATTACTCTTTATTTGGAAGTACCAGAATTTATATCAACAGAAAGATACAATTTTCTATACTATATTCTATATGAGTAAAAATCAACTTGAGTTAAACTCAAAGAACGATCTACCTAGCAGCAATTAGCTTCATATTAGATTCTCAACTTTCTGAAAATATGAACCTCTGATCTTTAGCTCTAGCAGCTGCATCACTTTGTCAAAAGAGCCAAATTAATGAAGTACAAATATAAAAGAAAAAATAAAACAGAGGTAAAAAGAATATGATAAAAGATACAAACAAAAAAAAAAAAGAAGGGGGTAAAGAAGTATCAAAAAAAAAAAAAAAAAAAAAAAAGTCTATTCTAATGATCACTATTATAAGCCTGTGAATAACTTGTAAAAATTACATACTACTAAATAAAATAGTTCCTACTCTAAATTTATTTAAACAGTATATGAAAGCTTAAAACCAGTGGAAAAATACTTCTTTGACCATATAACATAGGAGGTTGGTACTCGATCCTAGTCTTGGAGTATTGTTTATCAGCTTGTTGTATTCGAGGCATGTACTTTAACATGTTTGTTGTCCTGTTGTACTGATTTAGAAAGTAAACAATACCAACTGTTTTGGTGTATATAATATCGATCTTTTGGAAGAGTAAGCTGAAATGCCTACTTTTACAAAAATTCCTTGAAAAAGTGGTGAGTCAACAAAAGTATATGAGGTTCTTCTTGTAAGAGTTACAGTTGTATAGTCTAGTTCCTCCAAAATATCCTTTTGGTTTGAATATTAAAAGTATAAAGAAGTTTACTAAAAGCTTAACCTAAAAGCATAGTCTACTTGTTGTTTATACACCTGCTTCTTAGTATTTCATGTATATAAAGTTTTATCAACAGCAAGTATATTTGTATAGTACTAGAAATATTTAGATATTAACTTTGTTGCTTTTCTATATTGTTTTTCTGTAGTTTAGTTTATTTTGTTGTTGACTAAGAGATCGTCAGAAAGAGTTGATAGCTAAAAGACTTATTATGAGTTTGTACTATCTAATACTAATTTGCATTTTTCTGTATAATACAGATATCTCTAACCTTTAATCAAGTTGATATAATTGCATTACAGATATTTAACCTATTGTAACAGAAGTAGTTATTATAATACAGGTATATTTTCTGAATTTTATCATAGATAAGATTTAAACTCTAGACCTGTTGCTTAGAAAGTAATAACTTAACTACTACTCTAAATTGCTATACTCTATTATTTATAGGGATGTTCTATAGAATAGATGGGTGAACTCTGCAACTCTGATATTAAAAATTAATGATTACTAATCATTAGCAAAGCTTATTTCTTATATTACCTACCTATTCTATAGAATATCTATTTATAATAATTATTAAAAATATTTATTAAAAATATTTATTTTTTTTAATAAATTCTGTTTACTTTATTTAAAGAAAACTAAACTATTATATAGATAATATACTAATTACAGTTTGTAGTATTCTAGATAAAATTTAACTTATTTAATTTTATTTTGCAGTTGCTATAGCTTCTACTTATAATTAGAATAAACTATTAAACTATTATATTATACTTAGATATAATATATCTAGCAACACTTAATTTTTTTTAGAGTTTAAAACTTATTAAAAACTTTTGTTATCTAAACTCAATAGCGAGCTATTGTTTGCTCTATCAAGATTTTGCTTTATAATAGAATATTATCAAACTAATAATACTTTCTCATAGAGAAGAAAAAAAAATTAGAAAATATAAAGTAAGAAAAATAAAAAAATAAAAACAAATATATTATAGAAAATATATACTAATGCTAAAAAATATAAATTTGTATTTAAAATTTAAAAAATCTATTATCAGAAAAGAGAAAACCTGCTAACTTAGCAAAAACTTCTAATTATACAAAGTAATAATCTACTATCTAATATAAATATCTTAATAAAAAAGAATAAAAAAAATATATATTAAAATCTATATACAGAGTTTAAAAATTATATATATATAATTTTACAATTTTGTATATCTCTTGCTTTATCACTTTGTCAACCTTTTATTTAATCTATACTCAAATCCAAAGCACCAAAATAAAAAACTTTATATTATTAATCTACTTAGATTATTTTATATCACCTCTTTGTTAAATAAGATAAAAAAAAGTTTTTCTTGTTTATTTAGTTATTATTAAAAGTTACTTTTTTAAGTTTATTTAAAAGCTTTTATTCTTAACAGAGTATACTCAAATCAATATAAGATTTTTTTTATAGCTAGTGCTTAGCAAAATTAAGTAAAAACTTAATAATTAAGTTTGAGCATCTAATTATAAAACAAATTAAATCTCAAATTATTTAATTATTTTTAGTAAATCTAATAAATTGCTAGTAATTATATATATATATAATATAACACTTATATAATACTTATATTAAGTATTGTATTTTACTTTTTATTAAAACTTTATTATTATTAAAATATTTAAAAAGTTTAATTTGCTTCTTTATAACTTGTAATTATTATAATAAGTTATTTAGATTTGTAAAAGTCTTCAGATTATTAGGTTTGTAAAAATCTTTACTAGTAATAGATAAGTTACTTATTTAATTTTTTTGTTATTTTTTTAATCTACTAGTCTTTTTTATCAATTATGGTAATTCTCTTGTGGTTTTTGCTGTTTTTTTTTTTATTTTTTAATAATTATAGTATTTTTTTGTTGCTTTTTATATGGTTTTTTCTAACTTCTCTTGATATTCTTATAGTATGTATATTTTTTAATTTTTTAATTTTTTTGGTTCTTACTAATCCTTTTTTTTTGTTAATTATAATGGATCTTTTAGCTTTTCTTGTAATCTTTGTAACAATTTTTTGGCTTTTTTATTCTTCTAGTGATTATAGTTTTTTTTTTGTTAAATTTCTTTTTAGCTTCTCTTGATATTCTTGTAATATATGTTTTTTAATTTTTTTTTGGTTTTTACTAGTCTTTTTCTTTGTCAATTATATAGATCTTTTGGCTTCTCTTGTGGTTTTTGCAGCAAATCTCCGACTTTTCTTATTCTTTTGGCGATTATAATATTTTTTTTGTTAACTTTTATGTGGTTCTTTTTGGTTTTTTTTAATGGTACGTATATGACCCAGTTGCTAATAAGAAACTAACAATTTTATTTATATGGTTTTAGTTATACCAGACTTTTAAGAAGTAGTTTGGGTGTAACATTACTTTAGACGTAAAAGGAATTAAATGCCCAATACTACGTATTGACATTGAGTGAATATTAGGGATGGGTATGGTCGGTCATTTTCGGTCAACCGTTTTATGACCGTTGGCTGTATCTTGTGATCTAGTGATCCAAATCGGGTGATTTTTGTACCATTCGATTCATCTCAATGTGACAAATCGAATGGTATCAAAATTATCTGACTTGGATCACTGAATCACAAGATACGGCCAACGGTCATAAAACGGTTGACCGAAAATGACCGACTATCCCTAGCAAAGATTTTTAACATATAATTAATTATCGGTATTATTGGTAATTCCTTAGTAACTTATTTTTGTCAATCAAAAGGGGTTTTTTTGTGATATATAATCAACACCTGTTCGACAAGCGAAAAAAAATTTGAGCACATAGCGATAGTCTGAGCAGCGCAGCTCTGAGCGTGCGCTAAGTATAGAATACCTTTATACAATCGTTTTATTTTTGTGAAACCTTCTATTTCTAAAGAAGGTTAGCCGATTCCCTTAAATTTCTAAAGAAGGTTAGCTGATTCCCTTAAATTTCTAAAGAAGGTTAGCTGATTCCCTTAAAAAGCAAAAAAGTAACAATAAAGTCTATAAAAGCAATTTTAATGTAGTACCAAGCGTTAACTAATTTTTACTCAAATGGAATGGTCTGCTTTGGATGATTTTATTACCAAAATGATCACATTCAATTAAGTCATATAAACTTTTCAAAATAAAAAATTGCTCCTTTATTATATAAAATATTATAATAATAACAAATATATATCCTACACTAAGAGACACGTAATATTAAATTGCAAGAATAGTAATAAAAAAAAATTAAGAATATAAAAAGAAAAATAGAACGAGAAAACAAAATTTTGATCGGCCTCACTAGATTTTGAGTCATATTAAGGTAATATATTTTTATATGTAGTTAAATTATTTGAAAAAAACTGCTAATACAATTATTATTCGTAAAATGCCAATGTTGGTTAATTCATTAGCATTACAAAAAATTTGGTAAATAAATATGTAGATGATTAATAGTTTTTTTCAACAGTATTTTTTTGGATCGTTTCGGCTTGGGTTTGATTCTTATATCTCCTCTTTTTCTTCAGTATTTGGTTGAATTGTTTCGTCTTGGGTTTGATTCTTAGATCTCCTCTTATAGATGTAACAACCACATATCGCGGCGGTTATTATTATAAATAGAGGAATCACAACGCCAAGTACAATTGCTATTGCCATTAATTGATTTAATAACACGATTTTGATTAATTATTACACTTTACACAAATTATTTTAAGAATTGTGACAAAGAATTTTCACTTACGAATAGTATTATCAGTATCAGAAGGCACACTATAAATTGACACCGCAAGTGGACCACCACATATCTCTGAGTCATTTCCTGTACAACTAGAGCTACATTCTTCAGGCCTAAGCATATTGATGTGTTTGAAATCATTATCGCAAAAGCATTGAGTACCTGGCCAAATAAAAATTTAAAAATTCGTTATAATGATGTTATACAACATTGCTCAAAGCATATCTGAAATGTGAAGTTTGTGGAGAGACAAAACTAATTGACATTATATTAGAGTTAGGCGTTAGTAAAGTATATGGACAAGGAAAAGTTTCTTGTACATATTTTTAAAAGATAAACAACTTTTTGACAAAACGGAAGCGTGTTTGAAATTTCCAAATCGTATTACATTACATTAATCTTGAAATCTGATTCAAAATTCAAGAAATCTGTAGCATACATTTAAGAATTTTCATGCGTATACAGTACCAATTTCTAATCCAGCGTAATTATAATGATTACTTTTGCAAAAATTCACGCAATCCTCAACACTTAAGCTGATGACTTCTTCGTTTGATCCCTTTAAGATTCTTTGGTTACAGTTAGGAGATTCTTTAAAACAACCAATATATTTCTTATTATTTTTGAGGTCTTGAATAATAGAGACTTTTTGTAATGCGCTTATTTTTGGTGGCATTGGAATCGGTTCTTGATAAATTGTGTATCCGATGTCACCACCACAAGGATAGCTCGAATTTCCGACACATGATGCGTTGCACACTATTTTACTTAAAGTATCATTTAATTTGGTATATGTTACAAGGGCAGTAGATCCTCCGCAGCGGCATTCATCACCTTTTGTCAGACCTGAATAAACAAATCCGTAATTTGCGCAGTGGTATATACATAATCCAGGATCCATAAGACTACCATCTCTATCTTTGAATGGATCGGAAAGCCCTATGCTTGCAAGTCCATTAAAACCATCGGGATTGGTGCCATTAAAAATATAACATCCTTTTTTTACAGCAGA